CAGGAATGAACACATGATCCAAACCGAGGTGGAACTTCTTTAAAAAGCCTCAAAATTCATGTCTCAAAATTGTTAATGTTCTCCCCTCCAAAAAGCTAAAACAATACTCACCTGCCCAGTTGTTTCCTACAGTGGTACTCATGTACCAACAAATAAAGAAACCATGAATCTGCTTAAGATGCTGTTCCATGACTTTGAACCCACACTGAAGCAAGACAAAAATTTAAAGGAGCAGTCATGCCCTCAGCACTGGTATCCATTACCAGAGTAAAGAAAACTGGTGACACATTATTGAACAGTTATACTGACCAAGCAGCAAAGCTGATTCCTCATGGGAAACACCATTTGTATTGGGTTTACATGGCAAGGTTTTGGTAACAGAGGGACTGTAGCAGTGTCCTCTCTGAGGAGAGGCAAGAGGGTGCCCTGTGTTTGACACAGCTGTTTCCAGTTGGCTCCACCTGACCCACTGCTGGCCAAAGCTGAGCCCAGCATGGTGGCCCCTCTGCGAAAACATATCTAAGAAAGGGGAAAATACTAGACAGTAGAGAGGAGCAAGATGAAAGTGTGAGAAACAGCCCTGTAGACACCAAGTTCAGAGAAGAAGGTGCTGCTCCAGGCAATGGAGCAGACATCTTTTGCTAGCCAATTAAGAGGGCCATGTTGGAGCAGATAAGCACGCTCAGCCCATGAAGGACCCCACACCAGAACAAGTGGCTATTTTCTGAAGGAAGCTACAGCCTACAGAGATCCCACATGCTGAAGCAGGTTCTTCTGACAGGAACTACAGCCCATGGAGTAGATCCATGCTGGAACAGAGACAAAGTGTGAGAAGGAAGCAGCAGCAGCAGCCAACAAGAGGTATTATGGACTGATGGCAACTACCTATTCCCCATCCCCACTGTGCCACTCCAGGGTCAGGACTAAAGGAGTAAAGTTGAGCCTGGGAAAGAGAGGGTGGGGGACAGAAAGGTGGTAGAAAACAAAGACCATTTAAAGCATTCAAAACAATTTTAACCGGCAATTTTCTTCAACTCTGTTTTGCCCATGATAATAATTGGTGACTGCCCTGTCTATCTTGATCCACACATTGTTGTGTCTTATTTCCTCCCCCATCCCATTGATAGGGAGTGAGAGAGCAGCTGGGTGGGCATTTGGCAGCCAGGAAAGTCAACCCACCACACTATTGCAGACATGACCTACTTTCCAGGAAGCTCCAGGTAACCTGGCAAACACAGGTTAAAAGTCATTGTTAGCTGAAGCAAAACACTTAATACTAAGTTATCATTATGTAAACTTAGGACATAAAATATCCACACCTCTTGCTTGCCATGCTGCCCACCTCCCTGACATAGAAGATGCCGCTGTGAATGCAGGAAGCCCGGCAGTTTAGCCACACCACCTTTTTGAGGTAATTACACTGACTCCTGACAGCACCTACAGTCTGCACTAACACTCAGCCAGCGTGGGTTACCCAGTCAATTGCCTACCATTTCCCCTCTTTCAGCTCTCCCGAGAAGTAGGGCAGGGGAAGAAATCAAAAGCCTGTTAGAGAAAAAAAAAGTACCCTAGCCCTCCCTCTTCAAGACAGCATTAACTCTACCTATGCTTCTCTGAAGGTTTTCAGCAGCAGGTGGAGAGATCGACACATCTATACAAAGTCCTCATTATACTCAATATTAGATAGGGGAACAGTTTCTCTCTCCCTCACTGGAGTTCAAGTGTACCACTCTCTATTTAGCAAAAGAACACTGTTCTCTTTGTAGCAGCCTCCATATACTTGGACTGATGTCAATGCCTTTAAGTCCCTGCTTGAGCTAAGCCACATGAGTGTGCTCTGTTCAGAGGTCTCAATCTTCAAAACAGAGCACTTAATTTTCTTATATTACTTACCTTAGGCATCTCTTTCAAGTACCCCATGAAAAACTGATGCACTACTTCCAACTTACCATTGAGTAAAATTCCATGTTTCACAACCTATAGTCTTGTTCATATATTGAGCAAACACAACTGTGCTCTGGAGTGTTTTCCCTAAACAGTTTTTATACCTATCCGTAGAGCATACCACATTTCTCTTGCTGCTGAGAGTATCAGAAGAAAGTGAGAGAAACCATCATAAAGAAAGGAGAAGCAGTAGATTTACTATCTACAGGAAAGGTTACATTTTGTAGAAAGAAGTTAAGACCAGTTTGACATTACTTGACAACCCCATGCTGGTCACTACTCATTTCCTCAGGATCTTCCAGATGTGTTGATTTTCACTAAATTAAAAAATTACCAGCTTCAAGTTTGATGAAAACAATTGCTCTCAAAATTTACTTTATTCCATGTCAAAGAAAGTTCACTCTTCATAGAAAAAAGTTTTGGCTTTGTTTAACAACACATCACATGCTTTTAAAGATATGTTGTTAATAGATATTTACAAGTAACAAAATAATTAAAGCAGAAATATAGGAAGACACTATACAAAGACAATATGATTATAAAAGTCTGAATGTAGACAGTAAGTTAACACTGTAAAAGACCTCCAAGACTAAGTGGTATTCCTGAACACATTATTCTGTTCTGTCAGTCCGGTAAAAGTCTGCAACTCCCATAAATCTCACCACCTCAAGCACAAAGCAGAAACACCATTCTCCATATCTAGTGCTTGCTTCACAACAAATGGAATTCCTCTTGAAGTCTGAGAACTGGCCACATTCTTGAACAGTAATATACAAGTTGCACTAAAGATAGAAGTGTTGTAAAGCAGTAAGAAAAGCTCCAAGATATTTTCTGCACTTCTACATTGATCCCAAGTATTACATATGGATATTAAAAGATTTTCTTCTTTTCATAAAAGCCACTAATTTAACAATTGACAAGTTATATATATATATGCAAAGACAGCTCAAATGCTATTAAGTAATATTAAAACAGTCCTGCAAGAGTTAAGATGTTAATTGTGATGGACGTTATCACCTTCATGGGACATCAAGGAAAAGTCAAAGTAAAAAAGTTTCGTAACATGCTTCATAGCACAGTCTTATTCTAAATGAAAATCTCTCAGGAGAAAGTATCCACCTGCAACTCACCTTTTAGTCTGTGATTCTTAAGCCAACAATTCACAGTCACTGTTACAGCTACTGACAGAATAAAAAGCATTCAAACTACAAGAATAAAGAGACACTGGAATACCGTCCTGACCGTAAGTCATAATCTCTAAGTAACTAATGATATTATACACTATCCTATGAGAACACAGTGAACTGTTAAAGTCCTACAGACAACAGATACAGCCAATGCATTTCTCAAAAGTTAAGGTTAATGTGAGAAGTAAAGCAGCTACACAAGCTATTTTGACTCAAAGAAAGCATCCAAACTCCTAAAGTGAACAGTTCAGGATATTTGTCCTTCAAATGGAAGGGTTAAGTCTAGATTTCTAATGCACCATAGAAAGCTAACTCCAGAATTTCACACTGAAAACTTTTCTTCAACTGCCGTTTCAGCCCATTTCCATTGGCACTCAGCATTAATAGTAGCAATGGCATTAGAGGAAATTGCTTGTACCCCCCTGCCTCAGCTTTTCAAAGTGCAGCCTACAGTTTAAAGTAACACTAAAACATCTTCCTATATCTAGCTGGCAAAAAATACTTTACATGACAATGCTGTCCCATAAAAGTACTGTTTTTTAAAACCAGGTATCTACTAAAATTAAAGTCCTAAGATCAAAAAAAAAAAAACCAAGATCAAAGCTTTGCCCCGTAACAGTCTCCTTTGCACTGGTTAAGGATCAAGACATAAGTTCTAGGCAGCTAGCTTACTACTGATCAAGTAATTACTTGGCAAGATGCTCATTCCAAATGCATATATTCTCAAAGTATCTCTCACTTCTGCTGGCTACATGTAATTTAGATTAGCCTAAGCTATACTTGACAGCTATAGAGTTCTTCCTTCTCTTCTTCCCATTTTCACATGCCTAAGGTAAGATACTAAGTTCTTCTCTGGGACTGGCACTGTGGTAGATCAGCTAAGACTTGCCTCTTTTCAGTCTCAATCATATGTTAGGCAAAGTAAAAGGTTTTCCAAGAGCTCAAACAGAGCTTGCTATAGCTGTCATTGTATAGTACAATAGTAATTAAAAAAATAAGCAGTTGATATTCAGTACAGTAATTGATAAACTTGACCTATGATTTATATAAGAAGAAAGCTGGAAGTTATTCCAATATAAGTCTCAGCATAAGAAAGCTTTACCTTTAGAGGTCGGATAGCTTCACAGAACTTCATCCACCAGCTTTTTTCAATAGATTCCAGATGCCTCTCTCTCCTTTTAAGCGTCCTTAGTCTCTCTTCTAGTTGTTGTACAGTCCGTCTATCCCTTGATGACAGAGGCCGACCATCTCTACACTGGTTACCAAAGAATAGTGCAAGAGGTCAAGGGACACCAATCAACAAAATAGACTCAATATCTAATTTAACAAGTTACAACAACTCTAAAAACTTTGTATTATATAATTCACATATAATTCACATTGTTTCTATGCATAGAAAGAGGATGAAGTGCAAAAGTTACAAGCTGCAACAAGGGGAATTCCTATTAGGTGGCAGAAATACTCTTCACAATGAGGTTGTTCAAAAATTTTAACAGGGTGGGCAGTCTCCGTGGCTAGAAATGCTTAAAGAGCCCAGATGTAATTTGATTAAGCTGATCTAACCTCAAAGAGGTCCTTGCTTTGTGTAGAGGGTCAAAGCTGATGACTTTCAGAGGTTCTTTCCAATCATATTTTATGACTAAGCCAATATATTAAGCTTGGCATCTGTATTTTCTTTCCAGCACTCCACTACAACTACTCAGCTATGTTTCTTGTTGTGTGGGCTGACATTGGCTAGACACCAGGTGCCCACCAAGCCGCTATCACTCCCCTCCACAGCAGGATGGGGCAGGGAAAAAATATAACAAAAGGCTCATGGGTTGAAATAAAGACCAGGAAATCCCTCACTAATTACTGCCATGGGCAAAACAGACTCAACTCAGGAAAATTAATTTATTACCAACCAAATCGGAGTAGGATAACAAGAAATAAAACCAAGCCTTGAAACACCTTCCCCCCACCCCTCCCTTCTTCCCAGGCTCAGCTTTGCTCCTGATCTCTCTACCTCCTCCCCCAAGCAGCACAGGGAGGCAGGGAATAGGGGTTATGGTCAGTTCATCAGATGTTGTTTCTGCTGCTCCTTCCCCCCCAAGGAGAGTACTCCTCACACTCTTCCCCTGCTCCAGCATGCACCTTCTCCCATGGGAGACAGTCCTCCACAAACTTCTCCCACAAGTCCTTCCCACAGGCTACAGTTCTTCATGAACTGCTTCAGTGTGGGTGCCATCCACAGGGTGCAGTTCTTCAGGAAGGCTATCCCAGCATGGATCTCCCATGAGGTCACAGGTCCTGTCAAAGCTTCTCCAGCTTGTCTCTCCACAGGTCCTGACAACAAACCTGCTCCAGCACAGGCTTCCCACAGGGTCACAGCCTCTTTTGGGCATCCATCTGCCCTGGCTGCAGGTAGATATCTGCTCCACCATGGACCATCATGGGCTGCAGGGGGACAGCCTACCTCACCCTGGTCTTCACCATAGGCTGCAGGGGAACCTCTGCTCCAGCATCTGAAGCACCTTCTCCCTCTTTTTCACTAACCTTGGCATCTGCAGAGTTGTTTCTCCCACATATTCTCACTCCTCTCTTCTCTGGCTCCAGCTGATGCTGCACAGTTTGATTTCCGCACTGCCCCCTTCCTAAATGTTATCATCCCAGAGGCTCTACCACTGTTACTGATGGGCTCGGCCTTGGCCAGCAGCAGGTCCATGTTGGAGCCGGCTGGCATTGGCTCTGTCAGACACAGGGGAAGCTTCTGGCAGCTTCTCACAGAAGCCACCCCTGTAGCTCCCTCAGCTACCAAAACCTTCCCACGCAAACCTAATACACTTGTACTTGCAAGAGCAAGACTACTTGCTGTTCCAACAATTAACCTTACAGAAATCCAAGAGGCACCATTACCCCAAGAATTAGTTGAGTGTACCAGATAAACATAATCATTAAACAATTAAGAATGTACTTTAAATCTGAGCCTCCAAATACTGAACAGGCTCCATTGCACTCTGTTGTAAATGCAGTAGCACACCCTTAAATCTCAGTAATATGCTAATAAGCAAAAGCAACGAAATAGACATTAAGAAGCTGAACCAAAATTGTTTCAAAAATTGATGCTACTGTATAACAAACTGATCCTTACGTAAAAAAAACTTTTGTAGTTTTAGTACATGTCCTACTATATATTCTTAAATTTTTCAATTCCCTACTCAATTTTTTTTCCTCTTATTCTAAAAGAGCCTTCCTGAAAATAGTGAAACACTTCACACCCAGTGACATTTAAAACTAATCTATTTTAGATAAATTTCTCAAAAAGCTTACAGGACTAAGACCACATCCACAGCACATGTAAATTGGAGATCACAACACACTTAACAGGAACACATATTCTCCATACCCTGTATAGCACCTCAGTGACTTGAAAAAGACTTTTTGGAAACAGTCCAAGCTTCAGTTATTTAAAATTAATGTAATAAAGCTACCAATTGTGCTAACAGCAGAAGACCATACTACATACTGAATCTTTTCATAAAATTAAATAGCATACTTCCATACTTTTAGTTTTCACTGTACGTTACTCTCAGTGTACTCTCAAAGTAACACTCACTTTCTCCACGACTTCATGCAACTGAAACTGAAGAACTAAGATTTCGATTACAGACTGAGGCAGAATCCTGACCATAATCCTTAACACAAGGAAAATTAGTTTATACTAATTTAGTTTATACTAATGGTTACATTAAAATATAAACATAACTTAAGACTTTCTATTTTGTGATCCTATTGGTTAGCTAGATTGAACAACAAGACCAGTTGCTTGCAAACTCTCATAATCCAACATAGTCTTCTGTAATAAGTAATGATTTTTCAGGGGTCTCTCATTTTTCTCATATTGATTTCAGTAATACAGATGCCTTTGTTGTAGTAGCACTCTGTACAAAACCAAAAGTTTACAATTTAAACTAGGGGAAACTATTTTTTAGGATTTCATTATGCAACAAGATTTCTAGAACACTGAATGTGCCCATGCTGTGTAGAGGTAGCCAAATATCAAGGGAAGACTGTTGGAACTATTTCAACATGGCTGAGGTCTACTATCACAGAGCACATAACAGCATAGATGGACTGCCAGGATAAGAGTGATGCATCTTAATGCCCTTACCTCCACTCAGGGCTGTGAAAACATTGGTCAAACAATTATCTGAAACTGGTTGGCAAAAGGGCCAGAGATTATCCCTAGCATCTTGCATGTAAAGAATAACCTTACCCTCCTTCAGCTTGTGCTCTTAGGTTGTTAAGTGTCCTGCTTACATTAGGCACAGCATTTCAGTGAGCTGCAAAGTCATCATGGGTTTACAAATGGTGTTAACATCCCAGGGATGTTTAGGATTCAGAACAGAGATTTCCATACGTACACTTTTCATAAAGAAATTATTGATAACAGCAAGGTACATTAAGTGGGAAGCAAGAATATCTGGGGCTGTTATTTATTCATAAAGATGATTAATTGTTTGATCTAACTCATGACAGCTCCACGTGGCAAGTATTCAGCGCCGACAGCTACATTGAGTAAGTATCAACAAATTGGATGCCATACCTGGTTGAAGACTAAGTAAGGTTAATACTCTTAACTTCTACAACGTATCTCTTCCATATATCCAAGCAGGACTGCAGAAAGGACTGGAGAAGTTTTAGTTTACCTTGTCAACACCACCATTAGCTACACAGAAATAACTACTGCTGCAGGACTGATAAAGAAAACCTGATTCCTATGACACAAGTGACCAGATTTGTTGCCCAAATAAAAGCCAGTCCCTCTGACTTGCTATTCTTTCTGGAACAAAAACTCTCTACAGCACGACCATAGACCAGTAAGCAAGCAAGAAAAACAACTCGTTATGAAAGTGAGAACAGTGAAGACCATACCTTTGATTTAATCCTTAATAAACGTTGCTCCACTTCTTCAATATCTTCAGTGTTCTCTAAACGTTCATAAGCTGCACTAGTAGTTCCCTTAATCAAGTTTAGAGGCAAAGCTGACATACCGTAAGCCTAAAATTAAAAAAAAAAACATACATAATCAAATTTTCTGCCACACATTTTCATCTGATAAGGCTGCTGTACGTTGTAGCTATAAGGTATCACTGCTGGGTTTTTTCCCCCACCCACCCTCCTCCTACAGACTCTTACAAAGACAATCAATTTTTTTCCTTTTTTGAGCAAAACATAACATACTATGCAGATTCCAGCACCCTGCATTGTTCCAACAGTAATTAAGTGTCTTACAATCGCTGAGACAATAGCACTTGTTAAGACTTCACAGAAGTACAGCCCACTGAAGATTTATCAAGCTAGCCCTTGGGGTTTTTTTTTTGTCAAATCATTTAGCTTCCCAAAACCTTAACTTCTCTACTTTAGATCATAATCAAAACATTGTGTAGTACAGGAATTTCTAGACATTGAACCTAAATAGTCTTAGAAGCAAAGTATACACAATTTGTCACCAGTAGTCTTCAACTTACTTCTAAAATGAAATTATGTAGAAAGTACCTGATCTACAAAAAAAATCTGCAGTAAAAAGACATAGCAGAAGCTAGGTCAACACCTAAACTCAGTTACATTCCAAGACTGCTTAAATAACCGTTCACATTCATAAATTTTGTTGGCATTTGCTCCTAGTTATAAATCCTACACCATTCAAAGTGTTTGCCAGCTTCTACATCAACACTATGCCCAGGTTTTTCCTATGCAAAGTCTGTAAGCTTTCTGCTAACATGAGGAGAAACAGTTATTTGAGGTGAGGTAAATAAGAAGAAAATGCCACTATGTCCTCCCTGCTACCCTGTAAGTCTTATAGATCTAGACCAAGGTCAGAAGTTTCTCCAAGCTGTAGAGACATTAGCCATAGGCTTTATTTGTTTTACTGTGGGTGGGAGGCCATTGGTGATAGGTTTTTCTTGGTGCAGAGCTCAAAGTATTTCTTTTCTTTCTCTTAATCACAATTAAACACATGCAGTTTTACTAGAGTGCTTGGTATCTGAGCATTTGCTAAGTTCAGAAATCAGCAGTTTTCTAGATTTTCACAGGAATACCACTCCCTCCTTTGAGCACAGCTTTACATTTCATACTGAGACTAGATTTAACAAATGCTAGTGTGTTATAAATGTCACCACACACGCTGTCAGATCACATTAGCTTTCTGTCTATAAGACTTGATTTGACCTGCTTAAGAACCTACTCAGGACATACTGATGACATTTATTGTACTAAAAGCATACCACTGTTTTGGTGTATTTTTCAACAGGCTGTATATCCCACCACCAACACCTATTTCTAAGCCCCGTTAACAAAGGGATATAATTTACTATTATTGTACCTCTAAACCACATTAACTCTTTAAATTAATAACCATTTCAATAGAAGTATCTGACACTGATCCCACACACTTCAGTTACTCTGCAAGCAACAATATTCCATGATTTCAAGAAGCATTCCTCCAAGTATTAGGCTACAAAAGCACAAAACAGGAATTAAGCAGTCTGACAGCCTTTTTTGCTTACTGTGGAATTAGATTTCTTATGTTCAGAGTGACAATTACCAGTAAATTGTTGGAACAGTGTCAGGTAAGTTCAACAAGCAGACAGCATATGTATGTCTCAACAGGCTTCAAACCCAAGGAAACAGTGGTACCTGTTAAATCACTTTAAAGCATTTAAGGGTAGGAGAAAAATATTTTCCTTCAAACATTTCATGAAGTATACATTAGCAAAGAACACATTCAGCTAGATCTCTGAAAACTTGCACTACATGACTTTTTTTGCATAGCTATAAAGTATTAGAATTGGTTTTACCATAGACTCCTAGAGAATAAAGGTAGGCTATTAGCTATCTGCTCAGCACTTCTGGACTTCACAGCTGACAGCCTCATTTGTCACCCAAAAGTACAGCTAAAAAAAAAAGTATTTGCAGCACTGTTTACAGACTGTTCCAAATAAAGTTAAACTCAATTTTTTTTAGCTACAAAAGGTAACAGGCGATTTCAGTCCCTGTGTTAGAGATTTTTTTCTGTAAAAGCTATAAAAGGGAAAGATGTCTCTTATCACAGGCTAGTGATGGCAATGGAATTTTATGCTTTCCAAGGCCCACCTACAAGACTAAGTATTTCAGGTAAGGAAAAGAATTAACTTAACACTGGACTTTACAACTCTGTCTATAAATGCGGCTCAGTTCTCCCTTTCAAGTATGTCCTTTGGGAGCATTAAGGTGCTTTGCTATCTGCAAAAGCTAAAAAGCAGTTTCCCCCAGTTGTCTCCTCTACCTGAAGAAAGAATTCCTTCAGCCTTTCTTTATGGGTTGCATTCTCCAATTCTCTAATCACTTTCACAAGCCTCCACTGGAGTGTCTACAGTTTTCCAGTCTCTTAAACGGGGGGACTAAACCCAGACACAGTATTCCCAGGTGTGGTTTTGGAGTTACCAAGTACAGTGGAATAATCACATCCCTTGATCTACTGCCTATGCTCTTGCTGATTCAAGCCCAGGATCCTGTTTGCCCTTCTGCTGCAGGGCACATTGCTGGCTCACGCTCAGCTTGCTGTCCACTAGAACTTCCAGGTCCTTTTCAGCAGAGCATCCCCCAACTGGTCAGAACCCAACATGACCTGTTGCTTAGGATTAATTCATTCCGAGAAAAGGCCTTAAAATCTGCTAAATCTGATCCCGTTCTTTTTTGGCCTAATCTTCCCAACAGTCAATGTCTCTATGGTGGCTCGTCATTCTGTTTTATCTACTTCTCTCAGTTTGATATCATTCTCAAACTTGATGACTATATATTCAAACCCATCATCCAGATTATTTATGAAGACTGAATAGTACTGGAACCATATTGACCCTGAAGAGCTCACTCAGGTCTGCCTTGCTAGGAGCATAACTCCAGAATTTAGATGAACGTATAAACACCATCCTGCATTCATAACTAGAATGCAGGATGCAATCTAACCAAGGCCCCTCTGTGGAACCCAAAACATTTCCAGCCACAGCCAAGACATTCAGTATATAGAAACACATATAATAATGAGCGATTGCTGCGACAACAGACATACATAATTTTACAAACCTAAGCTTAGAAGCAATTAGATTTCACCATTATGCAGAGTCTTCCACCTGTTCTTCAAACAGCTAACATCAACTAACAGGTACCAACTATTTACTCAACAGAAACAGTTAAGGAATAAAATTCAGCATACTAAAATCCTCTCAATCTGAGTTTAAGAGTTAGTTTGCTTTGTACAAAGTGATGCATTGTCTTGCTGTTTTTGCAGATGTGAATTACATACTTGAAACATCAAGCTTGCGCTAGTGATAAAGGCAGTCTAAGTTCCTTCCTTGAAAACAAAAGATGCTAATAGTGAGATGATTATGCAAGTAAGCCTCCCATCATCAGAGGAAGGAAAAGCCACATAGGTCCTTCAAGACATCAATATATAGAATGAAGGACAGAAAGATGAGTCATCTCATGTGATGTGTCACAGGTCTGAACAGAAGCTGTATTAGCTCAGTTTCAGGGCTGCATTTCCCTTCAGGCTGATATAGAAGTTCAAGGCTGTGCTGAACAGTTTTAACCCCCTCGATTAGTGCAAGTGTTAAGTTATTCATGGGCTATTATTTTGGGCATCTGCAACTCAACAAGCAAACAACATATCAAAGATAGAACAGGAAAACCAAAGCTGTATGCTAAAGCCAAAAAAAGGTCTCAGTCCTGAAAAAAATTGGTGATTCAAAGTTTGTAATGTGAATAAAAACAGATCAGAAGAGCCTTTAAAGTAGTTAAGACAAGTTAGTTTATATACATGAATTTTGATAAAACAAGTAATTAAAGTCTTGACACATTCACACCACTGAAACAGTTTGCAGGACTTATTTTTAGACAACCTTTGCCTAGAAGTGTTAAGTCAGATGAGAAGCACTGCACTAAAGAGTGAAAACAGTCATCCAAATATAACAGGCAGTTAGTGTAACTGTGGTTGTTTTTTCCACATAGGTTCTTCAAAATTAACTGAATCTAGTACCAAACTGTTTAGGCTGTGATCTAATAACACATGCTGCAAGGTTAGGTCTTTGACGTGTCAGTCTGCTATCTCTGCTGTTACCGATTAAGTCTGTGTAGTTAAAACAACTTTTAGAGAAGATTCGCCTCTCTTGAATCCCCACAAGTGATCCATATAACAGGTCACCCCCTGTCAGTTAGTGAGCTCTTAGCTTAAGGGCTGGAAAGCCAAACCCTACCTAGTAAGTAGTGGTTAGAGGCATCATCTATGAGTAGCTGTCCCATTTGGATTTCAGAGTATGCCCACAGCCAATACAGATAATATCTCTGGATGGGTGAAGTTCACATTTACAACTTCATAGATCTCGAAGTAGGCGGCCTTCTACTCCAAAGGAGAAGACAAAAAAACCACCAGAACAACTTAAGCAAAGCAACAAAAAACCCAGCTTACCTATCTGATAAAGAGAACAGTCTAAACAAAGCTCTTGAGACTTTTTCCTTATTTGTTATTCACAGAAGTGGCAGCTAGGCCCGAGACAGGAATTTGCAAAGAACTCTGTCATCAGTAAAGCAGGAGCCTGTAACTCATATGAAAGCAACAATTAGTTCAATACTGGTTTTATGCAGTATCAGTAGGCATTGAAGAACAGTGAGAAGCATACTCCAGCTGTGTTCTCAGCATGCCATAGAACCTAAATATACTCTATGCTCCAGAGAGAGGACTAAAGTACCTCGATAAAGATTACATGAGCATTGCTTCCAATTTGCTTAATCTTCACTTCTCCTGTGTCCCTTTCCTTCCCATCCTGTCCACAGCAGATCCAGCTATTCTCCTGTCATTCCACAGTTAAGATTTAGAAAGGAGAGCTGCTGCTCTGATCATTTGGTCTCTTGAAGACTCTGCATCTTACAACACCTTAGACTTGCCAAACTCACATGACCCATGGCTAGATAAGGGAATAGTCTTTCTTATTAGTTGCCTGGTATGCTAATAGTCACTCATAAGC